TCTGCATTTACTACCAGCAATGCTAAATTGCTCCATCGTTATTTACAAATTGTGTGTAGAGCTTAATGGAGTTTCTCAGAGCAATTATCGAGATAGTAGATCACCTCGAGGCGTGAATCCCAACCTCTTGAGGGCACTGACTGTGAGTCTTGGCATAGCCCCAAAGGTTCCAACCATCACTGATAGGACTCTGGCGTTTTGCAGTCCATGAAGTTGGGCTGCCAGGGGAATGACTGGTTGGTATTTTACCACCTTTCCTTCCCTACTTTCAGAAGGCTAAACCCTTCCTCGAGGCGGACAGTCCCATAGACCACGTGGATCTTTCCCCGGCCTTTTATTACCAGGTCAGGTTTGAGTCTAACTCCTTCGACAACGGAAAACTCGTCTTCCGAGGATACCACTTTGTCCGATTTTCGGAGCATCTTCTCTCCCTCTAATAAGAGTAGTTTTGCAGGCAGCGATATTTGATCTCAATTGAAGTGCAGTGCAAAAAGGCAAAAGGCAATCAGATCGTTTATACGCGCCTTCACCCTTCGTATCCCAGCTTCTTCCAGATGGCTACCTCGTCATCGGCGAATTTCTTTTTATAAGCCCTTAAATCTTGTTCAGAAAAATCGTGTTCAGTTCAGTCTGAGATTTATTTAAGCGGTCATTAATGTCCGTTTGAAAAAACTAGGACAAGATGCCATCTGCAAATAGGATATGAAGATTTTTCTAATCGTAATCGTAGGTTCAGCGCTACTCTAGGAACGTGTTGGGCGAGCCACAGCAATCTCAGCCCTCCGTCGCTTTTGGCCAGGTAGAATAAGCCATCTGCATTACTCATATGCAGATGTATGAACTGTTTGACTGGCACTTGATAGTCCACATCCCTGAGCATCGTTAGAGGAAGTAATTTACTACATTTAATGACAAGACGTATCCATTTTTTCGTTACCAGAATCCGGCGACCAGATTTTTTCTACCGGTAATTTACCAGTTTAAATTCTTTCTCGGAGTATTACGGATACCTCAGGAGGAATGTGAATTCTCATATAAACACGACAAGTACGGAGATTACGCCACATAATAGTTGGTTTACTAACCAATATCGTGTCATTGACAATAAAGTGATAGTAGGAATTCCGGAAAACTTAATCGGTTTGTTACGTATCTTAAGTTGCAAAATTTAAAAAAAAAGTATGTCAACATAATGAATGGGTTTAATAGTTGAGAAGAAAATACGATATGATACAGATAGGTATATGTACCGATAATTATTAGTAATAATTTTACTGATAAACATTTGCGCAACTCAGATGCATTTTCTATGGCAAAATCAATATGTCTCTCTAGGTACTCCTTCAACTATTTTATGAAAACTCACAACATTTATTAGTCAAAGACGTGCCAGAGGATGCTATCGAGTTTCTCTGTAGAAGTACGAATTATTTTAGAACATTTGTATTTCGTGCATTAGCAAACGAGTAAATAAGTGATCGAATTACCTAACCCTAGTTCTACGGTTGGTACCACATTACCACAGTTAGCTATGCAAAAATATTCTCCTAATAGATGCCAAATATGGTATTCGGCAAATTGTGTTGGTTCAAACGTTTATCTTTCTAACTGCCATCTAGGCCCCTTATGCTGGATATAGATGATTGACGTCACCCTTCAGTTTAAATTTGTCTATTGAGGAATTTAAGGTAATAATAATGGTAATAATATTAATAACTATAATAATAACAAATAATAATAACGAACGGTCTAGATTACAGTAACCACGATGCACTTCTTACAATTACTATTAATTTGAACCCTGACGTATTGAATACAAAACTTAACCCATGTGTAGATTATTTACTGAATGCTAAAGTACATTATTTACAGAATAATTGCTGCCGGAACTTGGAGAGCAGTAATGTTGTTGGTATAAATGATAAATGCAATTTATTTTTCTCGATGCTTTAATTTTATAGCGTGTTTTCCTCTTAAATGGGAAAACTAAACTTTTTACGAAAACGCAATAAATGGATGACAAAGAATTAGATCATGTACAAATAACGAATTATTTACTTTTCCTTACTTGCTAGTGCTTACGCACTGTAGAGAAAGTATTCTTATCCTGCGGGGAAAAACAGCGAATTTTTCGACTGAAAAACTCTTATTTACAAGCACTAGTAAGTAAATAGGAGATAAATCGTGTCTTTACATATAGCAAATTACTTCCTTTCACACTTGTGTATTCACAATCCATGTTTTGTGGGTCCTTGGAAATGAAAAATTGATCGGCGGCAAAACGTTTGTATGTCTGTCTTTCTGTGTCTGTCTGTGCGTTTGTCTGTCTGGGCATCTGTCTGTCTGCGCGTCTGTCTGTCTGTGCGTCTATCTGTCTGTCTGTGTGTCTGTTTGTCTGTGCGCCTGTCTGTAAATAACGCTTCTGGCAACACCATAAGTAGGATTTCCCCTACTCTGATATTCCCCAATATATCTGGCTGTTAGCGTGAGCCCTTGAACTTGAAACAAGTAGGGAAGAAGGTGTATCTGAAGGTATTAAACATCAAGCCATTGGGACAAAAATGACACTCAAATTTTTGGTTAAATTTTGTTCTTGAGTAGCGAATAAAAGATTAATAGAATAATGAAGCTCCTATTTTCGTTGAAGTCCCTGATTTTTCGAAAATTGCAAAAGTTTAATATTTTGAAGTCGTCTTCATACAACTACAATATTGAAAATATATATTTTTCTTTCTTTAAGTCTGTTCCTTAAAAAAAGATCATCAAATGAGTTCATGTTCAATTTTTAAAACATATGAGTAGTTTTCGTGAAAATATAGGCACATTAAGCGCGAACTGTAGGCAAGCAAAAAAAATGTTTAACAATATTTTTCTAAGAAACACTCAAATTTGTTTCTTTAAAATTTACCTCTGTATGTAATTGCATATGTAAATAAAAAGCCCTGAAATTTATCAATTTTCAAAAAATTAAGTATTTTCAAAAACATGAAGCCCACACCTTTCTTTTAAGCGCTCTTAACGCAATAGAAAGTCTAAATTTAATAAAAATATTCAGTGACAATTTTTTTTAAATGTTCCAGGGGCATCATTTATAGAACCCCACAAAATTAGAACATTGCTTTCAAATTCAAGGATCGACATCAGCCAGATCGAGTGGGGTAAATCAATATGGTGAAAATCCAGGCAAAAGACAAACAGACGTTTTGCCGTCAATCAATTTGTCAGTTTCAAGAATCTACAAAACATAGATTCTGAGTACACATCGTGCTAAGGGAAGTAATTTACTGTACAGGAGAAAAATAATTCACTTTTTTGTACAAGGGCTTGGAAATGCGTTTTTCTGTAAAAAATTCGCCGTTTTTTCTCGCAGCCATAAAAATCTTTCTATTTAGTGCGTAAGCATTAGAGAGAAAGAAAAAAAAACACAAAATGGGCGTTTATCTCATCTTACACTAATTTGATTTAGCCCTATCAATATAAAAGATATGAAGAAAAAAGTCTTCGCCCTTATTTCACAGAAAAATTAGGAAAAACTTCTAACATTTTTTAAAATATGCACATGGAATTAATTGAAAAATATTGACATGAACATGGCGTTAATTAATGTTTCATTTGAAGAATTAATCGCTCTCTTCCGTATTGTAGTTTTAGAAAGTCTCTGAAAAAAATAAAACTGTTGTAAATTTCAAAATTACAGTATTAACAATGAAAAACTGACCTATACCATCTTTGTTAGTGTATTTCACTCTTTTCTTACAATACATTGGAAGAAACAATTTGAAGACAGCACATTTTTGAGAAACTTTAAAATATTCTAGGGGCTTTATGTAACCCCAAAAATTAAATTATGTTTTTCAAAAGTGTAGAGCTGTGCTGGATGGTGAGATCTGTCTCCAACATACCTGTCGGTTAATGGTTAATTTCCCTAATCAGTATCTCCCAACAGTAGAGCACTGCCTCAGTCGGCACAAGCACTAAGCTGCCGACCGGTCTCCCGACATACCCTAGTGATCAAAAGTATCCGGACACGTTGAAAATGGTGTTACGGTTTGGTCGTGTTTTTCATGGAACGGACTTTCACCCCTTGTTGTTTTGTGTGGCACCATCGCAGCACAGGTCTACGTTGATGTTTTAAACACCTTCTTGCTTCCCGCTGTTGAAGAGCAATCCGGGGATGGCGATTGCATCTTTCAACACGATCGAGCACGAGTTCATACTGCACGGCCTGTGGCGGAGTGGTTACACGACAATAACATCCCTGTAATGAACTGGCCTGCACAGAGCCCTGACTTGAATCCCATCAAACACCTTTGGGTTGATTTGAAACGCCTACGTTGTACCTGGCCTTACCGACCTTCGTCGATACCTCTGCTCAGTACAGCACTCCATGAAAAATGGACTGCCATTCCCCAAGAAACCATCCAGCACCTGATTGAAAGTATGCCTGCGTGAGTGGAAGCTGTCTTCAAAGCTAGGATTGAGCCAACACCCTACTGAATTCCAGTAGTACCGCTAGAAGGCGCCACGAATTCATCCCCGTGTCCGAATACTTTTGATCACTTAGTGCGATAGTGTAGTTCATGCAAATGTGTTTGAGTAAGGGGTAAGGATCGGACAAGGAAGAGGAAGGAAATATCGCGCGCGGTCCGTGGCACGATGGGAACTGCTCCGGCATTCGCTTGGTAATGATCGGAAACCCGCGATCGGAGCTAGAAGTCTCCTCCAGCCAGTAACTGCATTCGACCTAGATTCGATCTAGCCAGGTCTGCCACCGTCGGTACTACAGCCAAGGATCTCCCGCTCAGAAGCACTGCATTGACACCGTCTGATGCCCTTAGCCAACGCTCTCGGTAAGCAGGAAGGCGACGTCCGTAATAAATTTCAGTATCGATGTAGATTACGCGGTCGGAGTAACAAGGGGGCGGGTGGTTTACGTCACGCATGCGACCGCCACCAGATAGCGCGCGTGCATAAAAGGAAGGCCTCGGTGCTGGGCCAGCACTCGCCTCCCGCTGCACCGATCACCGCCGTCGCCATGGTGCTCTGGTTCGCCCTGCTGGTGCTGCTGGGGGCCGCGGGTGGCAAAGTGCTCAATAATTGCGATCTTGCCAAGGAGCTCAAGGAAACCTACAAGTTCCCTGAGGAGCAGATCTCCACCTGGGTGTGCATAGCCAAACATCAGTCGAATTTCAATACCAGTGCCAAAGGCATACTGTATCCGGACGGCACACGTAACCTCGGCCTCTGGGGAATCAATAATAGGTACTTAGGTTTTTTTAATTATTTTCACTTCTGCAAGTTTTCTAATGTTCGATTTTGAATTTTCAGGAAATGATATCAAAAAACACAGATGTAAATAAGAATAACTTGCCTTTTTAAATGCCATTTAAGTATGATTTTTTTCTCCATGTCTATATATAAGTTTACTATTGTTCAGCAAGTTTACTGATACTGAAATAGTTTTCTTTCGTTTTTCGCATGTTTTTGACTTCTCTTAGTGGTTCTCTTGTATCTGAGTTGTGGCCAGATCTTTACATAGCGTTTTGTTTGTCACGAACCACAGAGAGTTGAGGATCTGTAAGATTCTAGTTCCAAATTTTGGAAGAATTTCTTTATTCGATTATCTGATCGAACCCCATAATTCAATGCCATAAGTCTATTTTGATTTTGCTTTGTAAATAAGTACTTTGTTGAATAACGAAAATGTTGGTCCTGAACAATAAAAATTTCAATATTTTAAACTCGTTAAATCCGTTTTTCAAGTAAGTCGTTCTGTATTGTATAATAGTACTTCGGAACACTGATCATTTCTTAATGAGTTATACGTTCACCCACTTTTGGAGTGTTCATTGTTCTATTTTGTCCAGGGTTTTTGAGATGTTAAGTGCCAATAGAATCAATATTCACCGTCAGAATAGCAGTAATGTTTGCTATTTCGGTGTGTTCGGTACCTGGAAAATCGAAAGTATAGATACAGGATGGAGCAAAGTGTTAACATCTCCTCCTTGCATCTCTTCAACTGTGCAAGATATCAAAATGCCGTTTGAACATTCGATTGCATAAATACGGGCTTCTTTGATTACAGTATACTTCGTCTTTGGACAATTTTATACTATGAAATTTTAAGGTCAATTTTGTTTTTTAAATGAAACTCGATGCTAAATTTTAGCGTATCGTAATGGACTTAAAAGGTCTATTTCAAATATGTATAAATCTTATTTAAGCGAATCGTTGTTTAGAAATTGATGTGATTTTATAACGTATTTTTCTACTGAATTGGCGAATTTAAAGGGCATAATTCCATTTGCAATGATACTTCGAGAAATTGCATTGAATTTTGAGCTTGCACAAGCGAATTTTTTGCGTTTCTTGCAAAACCTTCGCTTTTATATGATCGAATATTATTTTACATAATTTACTAAATGTAAGAACGATCCACTTTTCTTTGCCAGGGACTCACAACACGAGGTTTTGTGTTGCTGTAATATATTATCTTTATAAGAAAGTTAAAATTGATTTTTTCAGTTATTTTCTGTTGTTTATAATCCAAGGAATATAAACGCGCTTATTGGCGAATTTCATAGCTTTCCATCTCTTTTGAGCATTAAAATTTTAAATAGTTTTCAAGTTGAGAAAAATGTTTCACTTCGTTTCCTGGTGTCCAAATGAGTAAAATGGTTTTACTTCCATAATTTCTAATGGCATTGAAAACTTTCAGCGCTGTGAACGCCGTGCTTAAGCAGTAGATGTACTTTGTTATATTTACTGTCTGTAGTGAGTAATGTCTACTCTGTCTGCTGCCGGAAGCAGATTTTTGATTTTGGCCATTTTCTGTTTATCCTCACCGTTTTCACGTATCTTTTCTCATAAACGACACAAAGAGTTGGCATAATTTTAATTGGTATACTAGTTTCAAAATATCAACAAATAATTGAACCAATTATATTTCCTATTAGTTTCTTTAAGACATACATCCTTTATTAATACTATGCATTTCCGATACCCTTGGTTACCACAATAACGATTTTAATAATTCCAGTTAATTAATGATTTTACCATGTAATTGTTTTGTATTTCATTTAAAAATTAACAGGAAAAAAGGTTAAAGAAGCTCAATAACAATCCACTGTTTCACAGGAGGTGTAATTCTGAAAGCTATCATCTTTTCGACCGTTTAGATTCTATTCAAATATGCAATGTGACCTGTGACAAATTTTTGGACGACAACATCAGCGACGATGTGGAATGCATCAAGAAAATTTACGCCGAAAACATGAAGAGGACTGGCGAAGGTTTTTTCACCTGGCTCGTCTACTGGGGTTATTGTGCGCCACGGACGAATGCCGATCCTTACATTTCCGGCTGCAAACTTTCCGAGTAGTCTTTTTGGTATGTGAGGCTTGCATTCAGTTGTGGTAGCAAAGTGACACGCTACGGAAGATCGAGCATTATAAAAATTTCAAATATATGTAATTACAGCCCTTCATGAGATCTAATATATTCAATTTTTTAAAGTATTTCGATCTTTCTATTTTTCACTGTAAAAATTTCGATTCTTTCAAAATTAAAATCTCAAATTCAATTCACAGTTTTCTTTCTTTTGAAAGGATGCAGTATATCACTCGTAAATGTTGACTTCTCATTGGTATCCTAAACCGAATTACATCTTCGTTTTGTATGCATTGTCTTTTCAACAACTTCACAGAAATATACTATGCAGTATTTATTTCATTTTCAAATCATTATTATAATTTTTAAAAACCGTTTTTAATTACTTTTGAAATACCTTGTAGTGGAAATGTGGAAACGTGTACCCGGTTTCCCGAGTATCTGCCATGTCGTTAGTTGCAAAGGTGCGCAAGGGGGAGGTAGGCAACAAGTCAAAGTCCACGAATTATTTATAGTTTTGTTGTAGTTTACCCTAGCTCAAAGAAAGTGAAGTGGCTAAGTATAACCATTTGACCAATCTTACAGACAAGTGAGCTGCAGAGCGGTAGTTGGGAAACAACGAAATCATTTTCCTTTAACGTTAATTTCCCACGAACGTTCACTAAACAAACAATGCTTTATTTGTGGAAGCTCAAAACATATATACGTACAAAACAGTACCACATATGTATATTTAAGAGTTTTACGTTATCTTTTTTTGCAATTTTTATCATTCATGATTTCTCACAATTGTCTCACGATATTCAGTGCATATTAAATTGTACTTTTTATTTAATGCTTTTATACTATAAATTGCCTTTGATATAGTTGTTTCAAATATGTAAATGAAAAAGTATTACCTGCACCTAACAAAGAAATGGAATCATTACCCAAAATATTCCTGAAATTCAATTACTGAAATATTTAAACGTTTATTTGTTGTATTTTCAGAGTGAGAATTGATTTCTACTAGCATGGGATGGATATGGAAATATAAATGAGGGCCAAGAAAAACCTAGGAATGTGATCTTGATTCACTAACTTCTCGTCCTGGAGTTTCAAAGAATTTTACTCCACTTGTTATCAGTCTTCCACAACTATGCCTTCAACTGTCTCACCAAAAGTCTCATCAAAAAGTTATTTACCAATTATTGTATTCTTATAACATATTTGTTTGTCAGTATATCCTCCCTTTCCTACAATAAAGCAATAAACAGTATGCAATATCTATTATGTTCGTATTTATTTTATTTTCTTTGTCATATCCTCGTTTTGCTGCAAGAACATTTGAGCCATTATAAATTAATGCAAACTACTTGCAGTAAACTACTTAGTAGGAGGTTACAAAAACCACAATTTTATTCATACTTCACCACACGGCGAATTTTCGGCAGAGACTCTTATTACATGGCACTGGCAACCAAAACGTGGATAAATCCAGTTGACAAGTTAAAACAAAAAACCCTGTATCACGTGATGTACCAAGAACCCATGTTTTGTGGGTCCTTGATACCGGAAAATCGACCGAATCCTCTCAAAACATTCGGCGACGGGGTACTGGTAGGTATCAGCTTAGATAGGATTTTGTGAAAAACGTGAATATTTCTTCTTTTGATGGGAAAAAATAATTTCATTACTCTGGCACGCATATTTCACAGTAAAGTATTCAAGTAACCGTCGCCCGTTTGTGCGTTTAAAAAAATAATTTCATTACTCTGGCATATTTCACAGTAAAGTATTCAAGTAACCGTCGCCCGTTTGTGCGTTTGTCCATCCGACACTCACCGCTAGCTCCTCCCCATCCACCAATAGAGAGACAAATAAGCGACGCGTCACGGTCTCCTGGTAGGGTACTGATAATTTGTTTGCGGGTCTGTTCAGAAGACTATACAACATTTTCGAAAATGTGTTTTAGCGTTTTTAGACCGGTAATCAAGCAAAGGCTGCGCAACATCGTGTCTAAATGCAGCTTAATGATAAGTAAGAGAGGCCCAAGGCATTCAGGCGATGAAAGCCAGGTCACTAGAGATTGCAGTGTCCGTACGTCGCTGTTTACCGTGTGCGGAGCAGGGCTTCTATCACTCAGAAGGAAAAGGTTCTTCGTCAGTATTGCCAACCCGTAGGATATATATTAGATTTGAAAGATGAGATTTTGATATGTGTAACATATACGATAATGCTAATGGGAACATCTTTTTTGTTGGATAATTGAAACTATTCTAAACAGAAATATATAAAATTGGAAGGGTACTTTGTATAAAGTGAGCTAGCAATTATACAAATTTTTGTTAATAAATTATCAATGATACACTGAATGAGTGTGAGTTTCCGAACAACTCTTCTGGGAACATTCGGGTTAGATTCTCCAAGATCATATTTTGAGGTGGCTATTTCTCCTAACCCCAAAAAAACATCCGACAAGAAGAGCTGCGACCACATATGTTTTGCATTTTTTATTATTTCATTTTAACTTTTTATGTGTTATTTTGTATGTACTATCCACTGCAATGAAGGCAATACAATTGTATAAACATACAAATTCATTATTATTTAGAACTTGCATAGGAAAAATGATCACCATATGGAAATATTTTTGAAATAGTTTAAAACATCGGCAACGTCATATTAAGCTAGTGTATCACGAAATAAAATATACAATGTTACAAATTTTGTGTGCTGTATTTATGTAATTGCTGCAACATTTCAAGCTTGAACAACCATGTGGCATTCCTAAATCTAAAATATCGTGTGCTTCTGTATGGTTAAATTGGTAATTTCTGTGTGGTTCTTTATGGTAATTTGTAACGAGTGATTAAGGAGTTGCCCGCAAACAAGGACACAAAGAAGAAAAAAAATTAATATGTAACAGAAATACATTCCACATTTTGGGGATTCGTTTAATACAATGCCGGAAGTAATTCAACATATTTCATTCCCAAATTGCCACATACAAATTATTACGCACAAGGGTATTAAAAACTAATGCATCTGTGAAGTTATGTACTACATTACGGTGATACCCCCACGTTATGCAAACGTTATATCTTAACATCGACCCCTGCGAAACGTTTCCTCTCCGTTTATAACAAACTTAATTAACTGAAACATTAGGTTTTCTTATTAATTCGTCAGAAAATGTCTGACAAAACCGGAATGTACAGAAACTTAAACAAAATTTACCATTCATACTAGTATAAGTTTATTTAATTTGTTAGAGACACCCAAAAAGTTCAACAAAAATACATTTTGAAACACGAATTCTCTACATCTTTTTTTCTATCATAGTACTGGTAGCTGGCACTAGGAAGTTTGTACAATTTCACGGGGACTTGTTTAGCTGTGCACTCAAACAACAAATTATGACCAAAAGTTTCGGGTAAACGTCTGGGTGAGGCTCACTGATTGAGAATCCAAGGAGAACCGAGCCATTGGGTGCATTGGATGCATTGTGTGAGCTCTCGATCTAGGAAAACTAGTGCCGGTAGTGATGGCTCAATAACGACACTTTCTTCTACAGCGGCAACCCTGTATCTGAGTTAAACACGGCAGGTGTAATGTTAATACCTACAATGAATTTTACAGTTCTCCTTTTCCGTTAATAATAGTTTGACGAAATATTTCCACAAGTCGCTACCTTAGAGTAAGACTGACGTAACTATTGTAACGTTGCGATTTTTGTTTACATGCATTCCTAGAATCAGTCCTTATTTCTTCATCTTAGGAGCAAAGATAGCTAAGTGTCTTCGTACAAAAGTCAGAGCTTAACGTACTTAGAAAGTTATATACCTTATTAGAGTGAAAGGAATGTAAAATGTGTCACATTTCTCACCAAACGTTTCGTGTGTGTAGTTACGTTACTCTGCCCCTACGGTAGCAAAATACAAAGCGTACATGGACCAAAAGACGCAAAGGTACACGTAGAGACAAACGCTTTGATCATTAAATGAAGTGTTAGGCTTCCGCGGCCAGAGTTATGAGAGTGATCTGGGCTGTCCGGGTGACGACGCGTCGAGGGATGTGTTGTCGGCAACACATCCCTCGACGCGTCGTCACCCGGACAGCTCAGATCACTCTCATAACTCTGGCCGCGGAAGCCTACGACTTCATTTAATGATCAAAGCGTTATTAATTCGTCAGAAAATGTCTGACAAAACCGGAATGTACAGAAACTTAAACAAAATTTACCATTCATACTAGTATAAGTTTATTTAATTTGTTAGAGACACCCAAAAAGTTCAACAAAAATACATTTTGAAACACGAATTCTCTACATCTTTTTTTCTATCATAGTACTGGTAGCTGGCACTAGGTGTGGTGCGGCGAGTGGCGTGGCGAGTGGCGTGGAGAGTGGTTGCAAGTGGCGTCGCGAGTGGCGTCGCGAGTGGCGTTGCGAGTGGCGTCGCGAGAGGCGTGGCGAATAGAGTGGCATGGTGAGTGGCGGGGCGTGTGCGAAAACTGCACACTATTCTTTGATAATTAAAATAATCTCCAATATAATTACATTAAAACCTGTACATTAAAGAATTAGAAGGAAAAACTTCAGAGAAATTCGTTGTGAAAAATACTTATCAGATTATCAACGAAACAAGTATAATATTTACTTAACCTTTCCTCTCTATAATTTATTCCTATGGAGGTAATATATTCCAATTATATTAACAATACGGTGTCGAAGATTCGGTCGTAGAATACACATTTAAGCTTGTAATACATGTGGAGCTGAAACTTGGCGTGAGGGGTTAGATCTATTAGTAGTGTTAGGAGTGACACGTTGGGAGAGAGATCTATTAGTAGTGTTACAAAGATGGTTAAAATTGTTGCAGGTAGTGAGGTGATTCTTATCAATTGTATCTTGTCTGTCATTTGGATCGATGGATCTGTCACGCGTAAGTCCGTCATATTGGAAGCCTTTGTGATAAAAATTCTGATAATGAATGGTTCAAAAACACTCTTTTCTCTTACGCAAATCCCATTAATTAGGTGATTATATAAACGCAATTTTCAATCTAATATTTATTGAAATATAAATAAATTATTTACATTGGTTTAAATTTTTCCTATTGTGTGAGTAATTTTTAACTAAAAAATATTGTAATTGAAAATGAAATGTAAAACAATAAATAGTTAATTAATATACAATCGTGAAATTTTTGTGTAGAATGTTAAATATTTCTCTCGAAGTTATGTTATGATTCTTCCATAAATTTTAGAAAATGTCAATATGATGTGAGTAGAAATGAATAGAAAGAAAAGTCAACACCTAGTTTTGTGAAATGATATTACTACAATAATTTGTTATATATTTAATATTTAGCATAATAATCATGGTACTTTATTGTGGCAAATATTTTAATAATAAAGTTACGACAATCGTTGAAATATTTTCAATAAATATAACAGAAGAGCTTCTCATTGAGTTGTGTTAGGCGATCATTTGAATCCGCCGCGCATCAGAAACAACAGCGGCGGCATGGCCGAGATACGCGCCATCGGGCCCCTGTCGAAGCGCGAGCCTACACCAGCGCCGGTAAGCCGGTTTCGGCAGTTCAGTAGAGTACCATTCAGTGCAGTTCCAGGAAGCGGAGAGTACGGTTTGATGCGCGGTACGAGCGAGAGAAAACGGTATACAGCCAGCAGTAGAGAGTCGACAGTGGCGAGGGCTGCGAGAATGCCCGGCGAGAGACGCGAGTTTATAAGAAGCTGCGGGCCTAAGGGAGGCCCAGGCAGCCACCGAACTAGGGAGCGCTCGGAGGCGACGACTGCGTAGGAGTGGGAGAGTCACCCTCCCACACCGGGGACGGCCCAACTGGGGCCGCGGCGGCCCTTGCAACGACAGCTGGAGGTGACGGCCGAGCAAGGGATTGCTGCAACTCGGGGCTTCCGCCCTACACGACCGGAAGTGACGGTCCGACCTGACAAGACCCGCGCCATGCCGCAGACAAGTCGAAGATTGTGTTCGGAAAGGCAGTAGGTTGTGTAAAGAGTTGTAAGCAAAGGTAACGAAGATATACTGAATAAAGTAACGTAAAGTTGACGTTCAACTTTCATTTACTGGTTATAAAACATTGTATTGAGAAATTTAGGAAATATCTGCTGAGTGAATAAGACGCGCTTTTAGTATCGTGTGTTCAAACGCAACGATAAGTAGTTTCACCACAGAGGCATGCATGGTGGCGGATATAAAGCTAACAGAAATTTATCAACATAAATTAAAAAGGAAAAATAATCTATGGTTACTTACTTTTTTCGCGTACGGTGCTCCAAAAATATTTGCTTAATATTCTTACTCGAAGGAGGTAATATGTTTGTGTTCGTTGGAAGATGTCTTACCTGAAAAAGAAAAATAATTGAAGTAATCATATCTAGATTGATTAAATTATTTACAATACAGCGGTTGTGATATCTAGTATAGCAAAATTTAAAAAAATTGTCATTTAAATTTAGCTTTACGCTACAAAATAGTCTTATCACCATCATAATCAATAAATGAATATCGACAATTGTCCGTATGTATGTATTCAGAATGTTTTCAGGAAACTAGATTTACAAAACGTGTCCGAATCTGTTAACAACACTAGCGCCAAAAACCTTTACAGATGCTTCTTGCAGAAGTGTAATCTTCAATCGATGTTTTCGCGCTCAAGACCCTCCATATTGAAAATGGAACTGTTTTACCCTTTATTAAGAATATCCCTCCTTGCAACGATTCTGACCGGGAGGCCTTCGAGTTGACGGGACTGTGACGGGATTTTCGAAAATAGCTACACAACTAGGTCAAATGCAGCCGCAGGCAGGAGAATTCTAGCAACTGGCTAATCCTATCGGTAATTTTTCGTGTTTTATCCGATCAATACAAATCAAATGCTGCAGAAGTACCCTAACAAACGGGCCGCGGATCGCGCGATCTTTCCTTCCACTTGTTTGTCTTATCCTCTCCCCTTACATACATACACACACACGCGCGCACTCTTATAAGCACGTCTACACATGACGTAGACCAATCGGAAGCCGAGAGCTTGTCTACAGTCAGGGGCGGCGCCCCGCTACGGGAAGAAATCTGAAGGGGAATACCTTTCAAAAGCCGACGGTAGGTCGGCCCCGAAACCCACTATTCAATCAACGCCATCGCTCAGGATGAGAACGAATCACCGGCAACTCCCAGGATAAAACATTAACTACACAAACGCGTGTATAGAACGTAGCAGTTGACGTGTTTGGAAACATCAACAAATGAATTAACCACTCCGTGGGTTTCTAAAGGCAGCACACTCACTTATGTTTCGTTTGTGTTAGTAATTAAGTCTGTTTCGAGCGATTTGATTTTGGGATTTCGAAAAGTGTAGGTTGGAGGAGTGTTATGTTGTGAAAATTTTGGAATGGTTTGTTTGCGGATAGTTAAAAAATTACCGTTGAAAAGGTGTGGGAGTGGAGGTGTAGAGTGTTAGAGAATTCTATTTTTGCATAGGTATTGTGGTGATTGTGGTTATCGTTGGCATTTCCAATGAAATAATTATATGCGTCGTCATTGCCAACAATATTATTTATTAAAACAGCAGCTTTCGATGGCTTAGCCATCATCAGTTGTCGTTTTTGTGGCTTCCATATAGCAGAAAACTGATAATGATGGCTAAGCCATCGAAAGCTGCTTTTTTAGTAAATAAAATTGTTGGCAATGACGACGCATATAATTATTTCTATTTTTGTTTTCTCAAATTAGATTTCTGATATTTTGTTTAGTGATATTTTATTTTCTCGCTACTTCTGATGCAGAATAGAGAAAGTATTGTAATGCTGCGCTCACAAAAGGCGAATTGTTTACAGAAACATGTCAATAAGACGGGCCCTGATAATAGAAAAATGAATAAATATTGGCCATATATATATATATATATATATATATATATATATATATATATATATATATATATATATGTAGTAAACTACTACATTCTCTAACTCATTGTGGAATCAGGATCCATATTTTGAGTCTTTGATACCAAAAAATCAATTGACGTCTATCCATCCTCTGTGAACAATACTAGCGGCTAAACCGAAAGTAAGGTTATCCCCAAAATTGATGTTACTCATCATCCTGTCTGATGTCGTGGTCCCTTCAATTTGAAAAAAATATTTTAATTTTCAGGGGAACTTAACATGAAGATCCTGATACATTTTCAATTTTTTCCAAAAAATTCCACCAACTTTTTTAAATTAAATTTTGCTCTTGGATGGCGTAAAGGAATTGAAAAAAACATTGTAAATTCGAATTTCGCCACTTCGATTTTCACGCTGACACTTCGCAAAATGACAACACGGCGGTTGGAAATACTTTGGTCTTTTGTCTTTGTTCCTGTCATGTAAACATGTAATGTAGATAACATTCTTATGAAAGGAAATGTATTTTCTGTTCATAAAACACCTAAAAATCATTCCCTAACAGGGAAATCAAAAGTATTCAGTGAAGCAGTTAAACGGTTTATATTTCGAGAAATCAAGAATGGTTTCAAGTTTTGTGCTGTGTAATTGAAAGGGGAATTGAGAAAACGTTAAAATAAAGTATCATCTACTTACTATACTACAAACTTGAGCAATGTATGTAGGGAGGAAGGATATCACGCCAGAAAAATATTCTAGGGAAATAAATTTGCAATAGAACATTTGAGATAAGAAAATAACCTTTTGAAATTCACTGTATCATTTTTGGACCAATGCTTAACCAAGGTTTACTCAACCAACGATTTTAATGGGTGAAACATGAACGATGACTTTTTGAGCGTTTGAATTCGGGATAGTATCGATACTTTTGGTATATAATGGAGTTTGTAGTATTTTGAGCATGTGTAATAAGAGAAAATTAAGGTGTTTTTTTAAACTTTTGTATAGTCTTATTTCAGCTATTCACAAATTTCCGCAACATTCTCTTCATGTTCTATAATTTTGTCACATTTTCTTAGATATACTAATATTTTATACTCTAACTACTGCAGCTTTCTGCTCTAAATATTTCTGCTCTAATTATATGTTCTGTACAGGTTGAGTTACGTTGTCTATTGAGTGACCAATTAGTGAACTATTTCGGTTTTGAACTTCAGAGTTACGTATGTAGGAATCCTTAGAACGATCTAACGATTTTTAAGGATTGTTAACATTCTTAACTTTCTTAAGAAAGTTAAAGACAATATTTCCTCACTTCCCTGTGGAATTCATTAGATAATAATGACGACTGTTCGCAGTGAAATGATTCAGATGAGATTCTCACTTCTGAGCTGCCTGCGAAGTTGGTTTGTTTCAGTGATGCCAGTTTCTATGCAGTTATTGCATCATTGAGGTTTACAACTTTTGACACTTGTTGCACTGCACTGCTGGAAAAAATATTTTTGCATACTTTCTTTACTTTTACTATCGCTTGTGAAATTACAAACTACGATGACATATTTACTTCATTTGCATAAACATTGTTGCAATGAATAGTATTATCGCTTTGCTGAGTGACAACTGACAAATTATATATTACGGAAAATCAACTGTGTATTCTACTCCACTTAACCTTGGGGTATTTATCTCAAGTTTGTCACTTTTATTATCTGCAATGACTTATCGTGCAATACGCTTGTGTTACCCCTGAAAGCTATGATGCAAGTAGCTTTCATCATGGGTGAAACAAGTTAGAAAAGAAGAGTGGATACGTATGTATCAAATATGCAACATGATATCATTAGTTATTGTAATATCGTTAGTAAATACCGTAAGTAATTGTACCATAGAGCAAGGAAGACAATATAATTACTCTATGGTTGTTCAGAGAATTTTGAAACTGACGTGTAAATGATGAGATAGAACTTATAAAAAGGATTGCATTATCATAAGTTCCAATGCCAAACAAGACAAAATATTTTTTCCATTTATATTAGTCAATATTACACATACATTTCAAATGTAAAAACTACGCACGCCATAAAACTAAGTTATAGCGCGATCCCCCACGGTGTGTGTTCACCCACGCACATTTTTCGCAGTGCAAGCTCTTTGCACCTTCCAGGCTCGTGCGAGATCCGCATCCACTGTATGCTGTTGGCGCTTCACAAAACACACAGTGGTTTACTACAAGTAAGGGTGTAACATTCCCACGATGGCTTACGGCCCAGAATTTTACTTGACCGCAAAGAAAAAATTGGTAAACTCTTAAAAAGAATGATCTCATGGATATGGTAGTGGTAGATGCGAAAGGCAAAAATAAAATACCTAGGCATGATTGAAATATTAACAACAGTATAATTAAATTAATTGATAATTTTCAAAACTTGAAAAGAACAGAAACACACAGCCGATCCGGTAGCCGAGATCGCTAAGGCAGTAGTGCTGTAGCGATCTCGGACCGAAGGATCGCGGGTTCGAGTCCCGCCGCGGGCATGGCTATATTATGTTCGTCCTTTCACCCCCTATCATCATCATTATCGTGTCAACCCACAGTTACCATACCGTTACAAGCAATAGTGGTCGCTAATGACCTAGAAGTTGATGCGACCTTATATAACAAAAAAAAACACACAACACACAATATACAAAGAATAGAAACACATAAAATGACCACTGCAAGAATATGGATACAATGAAGATAACAAAAAAGAAATGAAAAACTCTTTTAAGAAATACACACTCTTATACACGCTTTGTAATATACAATGGGATCTAAGGATCTTTCATAACTGTGACAGTACTATATAAATTTTTTACACAAAATGTGACTTGTGAGGTATTCAAATGTTCCTCCTCATAAATTTCAGTCGTCACTCATGTAGTAAATTACACCTTTGTTTGACTATTTGAATTATTGTTGAAATAGTCAATGAGTTTTTGCATTTATGAAGTTCCAAAGAATAAAAAAATGATACATAACGAAATTTGCATACACAGATGTTTATAAATCTGAATTCAATCTCACATTATACACATGAAATAGATGAATAATATGTAAAATTACCTCAAAGCTATTTTCACTATCTAGAATGCAAAATAATTTCCTTGTGAAATTTACTAACTTCTGTTGTTGTTTTTATTTACATTTTTCTGAATGTAAATCAATGGATAGTTGATTAAACTTTAAATATATGTAATTTAACTTGATATATGTAATTATTAACTTCTGTCTTCGCAAGTTCCACTCCCCCCTCTATATACATGCGACAGTGCGGCCAGGACAGGGAGCAAGATTTTCTCATTATGACCGTTAGGAAAGAAATGTTGGAGCGAATTGATTTTCAGCGCGAACAAATTACGAAGTTGCCTGTCCTGAGAGCTATGCACTTACTGGCGCAATGAAGATTCCTCCACACATTGCATAATACTGAAAAAACATTGTACCTTACTTTATGAAAACCCAAGAAGCTAATGGTAAGGGTGATAAATACTTCTGCGAAGAATTTTAGCAGTCCGTGAGCCGCACCTCTTCTCGAATTGCACGTTTTGCGTGCGTCCTTCTTTCCAATCCATCATTGGATTAGGTAGTTGGAATTATGGTATACAAAATAAAGAATTGCAAAAAGGATATAAAACGAAGAACAAAAACGAAAACATAAAAGCTGTCAAAGAGAAAAACGTAGTATGAGCGTGGTGCATTTCCACGTGCTTAAATCTTTCACATTAAAAATTCCAAACATTTTCTTCTCAAAATTCCACGAATAAATTATCAAAGAGGCAATACTGTAGATACAATAATTACGTCGAAATTAGAGCTTTTCCGGTGTAGTTTTATAGCCGATCGAAATATATACCAGATCTTTCGTCTCCTCCATTAATGAAAGCGTCCTGTTCGTCCAGCGGCCTCTGATGATATGGGCTAATCAACTCCAGTGGATCTTTGAAGCGGTCCGTTCAGGTTGATTGGGATGTCAAACCTACTACGCTGATCGTTTCATTTCTAGGCGTAGTGCTGGCGGTGTCAAACACTCAGTAAATAAGTTGTTATCTTGATTTGGGTAGACAGCGAAGGACTTCATCAATGTGAATACGTGAACGATTACAGTACGAAGAGAAGGCGTTCTTACGATCGTAAATAATATTGATATCCTTATAGTAGAAGATGTAAAATTATTTTTGTTGCATTGTTTGAGTAGGTTGCGTTCTAAAAGGTTTACAGCCAACATTGAAGCTGGCTGTAAACCTTTTAGAATGGATTTTCGGCCAGCGTTGAATTTGCAAACCGTTGTTCAACGTGATGATTTATTTTGTTCAATCTACCAAAAAAATCATATATAGAATAAAATAATTTGTGAACACTAACCAGAAAATATTTCACCTTTTAGATTAAAAGTTAAAATTCTAAATATTTCGCAATATTTCTAAATCTCCGCAACGTTTGTAGTTTGTAGTATATAGTCAATTTCTACGCCAGTTGCAACTTTTAGAGTTACCATATTTTAGCAAAAGAATATTTATTTATGTTACGAGAGGTAAAAGTCATATATTACCACAAGTGATATTATTTTTTAGACTGCCATTCTGAAATTCGTTTTATTTTAATCCAAGTATATAGATCACTTAATGCATTATGCTATGACGATGCTATGCTGATGCATTAAGGTCAGTAGTAGCTGATACGGCCAGTCGATACATCCTACGCTCAGTCGATTTACAGTCGTGACAGTTGACTACATATAAACTTTTATGGGACACAAGGTCGTGGGACACAGGATCGTGGTTTTATGTCTTTTATTTTACCACTTTAAAATGAAGTTAAAGAAGTTTGTGATTTGAAGACTTTTTCTAGAAAACTCCTCTCTTTTAAACTTAAGTATTCAAAACATAGAAGCAAGATTATGGTGGAAGCATTTTACAAATAAGAACACTTCTTTTAACCTTATTCACATGGTCTGATGCTCCACACAATTACTACAAAGCTTTCATTGATAAACAAAGTATTATACTTTGTACAGTACTTTCTAATTATATTGACACATTAGTGTGACTACTGCATTAACTTACAACAACCTTCAATAACTGAGCACAGTTTCAGTACAGAAAGATTGATTCATCTTTGAAAAATTTGAAAAATTTAATCAATTATTTGTCTAATATAATATTTTATATTCTGTTTTGTGGTTTTGAATGGAGTTCATTTTCAATGAAAATCTCACTGGAACATTCTTACTTGAATACAACGACAACGTGAAAAGTCGGATGTATTAAATCACCCTGAGGTACATCGCCGCCCTTGCGATGGTTTCATGACCTCCAACTGTCACGCCCCCTGTTCGGCATTTGCTCGCGTATCCAATATTTCCTTCCTTTATTCTTCCAATTACTCAAGTTAAAGAAGGAAATAAGAGAAACCAATCAAACGATGAAGAAGAAAACCAAGTAATAGGAACAACAAACTGAAAGAAAGAGAACAACTATGTACAAGTTTCAGTTCTATGTTTACAGGCACGTGATCTTACTTCAAACTGTTTCGTACAATTCGCATTATGCAAATTTCTTTAAATGAATGATAAAGTTCTTTTCCAATTCATAATGATATAACTCAAATTTCCTCTTCTTAATTTCTGTGAAGAGATCCTATCGCTTCCAGAAGTCGTCAGTTCAGCGGCACTGTTCATTAACATTACATCACTCCTCGCCGGTTTCCGGTCGCTCGCTTCTTGCCGAAAGAGTGTGTTCGCTGAGGCGAGAAATCGATACTTTGGTACTTTACCTTTTCCGCTTCAAAATGAGAATAAACACATTCAAATCGAGAACCAGCACTCTCTAATTGAGAACAAACTCGTTCACATGGAGACAAATCACACTCAAATATGAACGTATCATCTGCACATTGAAACCAAACAATTTCAAAACGAGAAGGCAATTGTTGTAATTGACAAAACAGGTTATGTACGGCAAGAATGTGAACTTGCCGCGCACGTGTGCCATGCACAGCGCGCGCTCGGAGGCTACAGGAAGTCGCAGTTTAGGCGGGTCATGCTCCATCGGCCCCGAGTCTCTGCCTACAGCAGCGCCCGATATAAAACGCAAAATTTCGTGCGCACTACAAAACCACAGTACACAACCTTTGGAATACCCCCCCCCCCAAAAAAAACAAGAAAAAACAAAAAAACAAAAACAATCGAGAAAGTGGTACCCTCCCAGACAGCACAGTGGAAGCGCAATGCGGCAGGTACTATGGAGATTAAGTCAGCCAGTGTGCTGCGAGCTACGGTTGTTACAAGAGGATCCCGGACGACCACACTCCAGGAAAAAGGCCTGCTGGTCAGGTAGATGGCATCGAGAAAGTAGTACCATTCCACACATCAGAGTGGAAGTGCGACGCGGTAGGTACTACCGAGATTAAGTCAGCCAGTGTGATGCGAGCTAAGCGGAGGAACCCGGGCGACCACGCCCCAGGAAGAAGGCCTGCTGGTGCGGTGGCTGGAACCCAGAAAGTATTACCTTTCCAGTCAGCACAGTGCCACGGTCGTGGGGAGAGGAACCCGGACGACTACTCCCCCGGAAGAAGGCCTGCTGGTGCGATGGATGGAACCTATAAAGTAGTACCTTTCCAGACAGCACAGTGCAACTGTCGTAGGGGGAGGAACCCGGACGACCACTCCCCCGGAAGAAGGCCTGCTGGTGCGTTGGATGGAACCCATAAAGTAGTACCTTTCCAGACAGCACAGTGATACGGTCGTGGGGAGAGGAACCCGGTCGACCACGCGCCAGGGAGAGCGCCAGCGAGACGTCGAACAACCGTGCCTTAGATGCACGAGAGTGGGGCGCATTTCGCCGGGAAAGCTGTCTAAGTAACTTTGGAAGTTTATATGTTCTTTTGGGAGAGGGGTCGTGGATGTACAAATTTTGGTAAGTAAACTGTTCGTTGCGTTAAAACCCTGTACTGATTATTCACTAGAACGAGAACATAACACAGGTTATGTGCATAGTTGTGCTCTCTTTATTTGTTCCTGACAAATTGTTCCCGTTGATTAATTATGTCGTTTATTAAAAAAGATAGGGAAAGAGTATCAATCATCAACTGTGTTTTATTTAACAATAATGGAGATTGAAGAGGTCTGGTGGATATCTTTGGAGTATGGCAATCTACTGCTTATATATGGTTGAAGGACCAGAACAAAAATAAACTACGGGAAGAACATTCTGAAATAATTGTTGATTATGTTGAGAACAATACAAGCCTTACACTGAAGAAATGTCAACGCACAATGCACAAAAATCATGAGATTATTGTATTCACAAAATGTTTATGAAAAATTCACATGGTTTATTATTCACACTTAAGGATATTTGAAGAGAAACCGAGAAAAATAACAGCGACGAAATTCAAATAAAACGTAGCGCATATGTTCTGCAGCTATTTCGTTATCAAACAAGATTCCTGGTGTACACATGGACAAAGCGTAACTTTTATTTATCTATTTCGCGAAAGGAAGGGAGTTTAAAGAAAGAAACTCGAATTATGTTATATGTCAACGGGGGCGTCGTGAATCTAATGTTCATGATATCGGTTCTATTAGTAATGTTGAATTAATTCATTGCAAATAAAAGGTATTTTCAGGAAAGAATATACTAACCAGTTGTGCGTCAGTGTCCCAGAGCTGCTGAACATGTACCAGACGACCGTAGTACTGTAAATATACAATTTGTCTTGTCATTCTGGCATTGAAAAAAGATTTATGAAGGAAGAATTTGAATATCTGGTGAAGAAATATCAAAACTTTATCAAACAGAATTTAGGCCTCGTGAGTTTCAACAAATTATTAGCATCAATTCAATAAATGTCAATAACTGTGAACAAAGTCCATTGCTAATATTCGAAGATTCACACCAGTTGATTTCAATTTAATTGATATGATTGTGTAAATTATTTCATCTGTGTTGTTACTTTTGTTTCGTGCGTTTTAATAAAATGTATTCCTAATTCACATTTCTGTACTGGTTTTTAAATTTACTTGCATTTTTTTAATTTTAATACTGTGGATCTCCCAATGTGGGTTCTGAAAAACTTTTTCTAGTGGCTATCTAAAAGAAATTATTTTTGTGTACAACTTTGCATCATAATTTTTTGTACTTTCAAACAAAACATCACTTCTCTTCGAGCTATTACTTCAATAACTGATACAGTTAAAAATTAGTTAGAAAGATACTCTACTACATTATAATCTATTTTACGCATATCGTAAATCAATCTTTCCTGGATATATTCCAATACAATTGTGCACTGTACTTTTATTCGTTACTTTAGTAAGTGGCACTCGTAAATCATCGGATTCCGCATTCTAAATTGGCCAAATTTTATGGATCAAAATGGTGTGTAGAAAATTAGTGTGAATACCCGGCCACAACTAAAATGAGAACGAGCTTAAATGAAAAATCTCGAGCAATTACATAGCTGCTCCACTACAAAAATTCCCTCCATGGAACCTGCCAAAAGCGAAGCTCTCCTTTGTTCCTCCCACGCCAACAGATTTCCCATTTTTTTTCGCCTGCTGGATGCCATCCCTCCACACCGCTCGAGAGGTGGCGATGGCGCTGCCATGTGAGTTGGCGGGCGTATGGTGTGGCCAAACGACAAAATCTTGGACAAAACCGAGAAAATAAAAACTAAAACAATTTACATGTTTCCCGGCATGTATGATGATTAAACCCGTACGTGATATGCATGTAATATCCCGCGAAGTGACGATGTTCTTTCACTGGTGGATTGTGAGATCTGGCCACACGTCAAGAGGCAGGTTCTCTCCCTCCAGGTAGTGGGCTAGCGTTACTGCAGGTATTTTCTAAGCACTCGACTGGTCTTCCGACGTCTAATGTACTGTGGTAGTATATGTAAGTGTGTTTTTAAGGGGAAAGACGGGTACGAGATTGAGAAAGCGAAAATCGCTTGCAGATCGTAACCCACTTGGTAGGTACTGCTTCGGTATTCGATTGGCATTGATCAGAAAAGCCAAAGAAAACTACCTAGTCGAGCAGTCGGTCATTACAATACTCCCTCAGATAGCAGTTGAATGCGATCCATTTTTTTAGCTTGTGTCAAAAAGACCCCTTCCTTCAGGACTCGAACTCTAGACGATCCCGTTGAGAGTCTCTGCAATAACACCATTTGCTGCTCTGAGAGTTAACTCATATGGTAAAAGAAAAGGAAACAGAAAACTGGTTTTCCACCTAATGATTGTTAGTCAATATTGACGATGATCTTTGCGCGGTTGAAATGTGTATTTATGTCAATAAACAATTAAGAAACCCTCATAACATTTTTGTTATTCACTGTATTACCTATAAATCTTCTCAAAAATAATATTTTGTTTGTTTTCGGGGAAATACGATCATTAATCGTAATACAGGAGAGGCAATCATAGTATAGGCTAGTATGCCAGCTGATCATTCCTCGAAAGTACAGTTGGAGGTTAAAAACAGTTTTTACATAGGATTTAGTTTCTTTCGATGTCATCAGATACCCCACATACAACAATAGTTCTTGTACTATTATTACTAATAATACTACCATTATACTATTGATACTAATACAGCTAAGTGAATGTTATTTTTTTAATTTACGAAAATAAATTTTAAATACCTTTCCTCTCGTGGCGAAAGTTGTATCAAATTTGTGTTAATCATTATTTTCAATATGATTAAGAAACGTAGAAAAAATATAATGTTCATGTAATGATAAATGTTCATGTTTAACCGGATCATGACAATGCTACAATAGTGTAATTTTAAATTTGAGTTATTAATAACTCGTAATTCATTTGTTAGAATCCATTTGTTAAATTGTTTTCAGTTTGGTGATTTGTTATTAGTAATATTAGCTCGGTTAATTACAGGGTGTACCAGATGGTGTGTAACAAGTTTTTTACTTTCTTACATTCTTAGTTATATTCTTGTAAAAAGTAAGAAATGTTTTGAGCATCTTATTTGGTAGAAAAGTGTAAAGTGTTGATGTAGAATGTTACCTTTGTATTGTTTATTTATTTTATTTAATAGGTAATTATTACGGACAAAATTAGCTTACTTGATCCTATGTGGCTAGGTCGAAGGCCTTTAAGCCATTACAATACCTACA